CACGATATTGCCTATGCTGAGTCTGGCCATCGCACTACTGTGGCGCGTGATACTCATCGCCCTTGCGCCACTTGTCGACGGAGGTGAACAGTTTCGCGCGGCCTCTCCTCTGACGCCGCCGCTCCCGACCGTTGTGATGGTACCCAGACCTCCCACTACAGTACACTATGATGCCCTCCCCCAACGATAACCCAATGTGGGTCAGAATGAGTAGAGCTGACGGCACACGCCTCTACTGCAGGTCAGCGCTCATTTAGCCTGCAAAAGTTCAAGGTGCGACCATAGATAAGAGGGGTCAAGGTTCTTGTAGGATGAGTTCAATCTGCGTTGTTGTGTGTGGGGGGAGGGGGGCGGGGGCGCTACTCGTGTGTTTCCAATATGGCAATCTGGCAGGGTTCATTCACAGCGGAGGCCGGGCAGCGGGCCGGCCAGACCCAGCCGGACCCAGCGCCTGTCCTTCTGCCGAGCCGCTATCGCCAACTGGTTCTCCAGTTCTAGACGTCCGGGCGGGCGTCCGGCCAGGGAGGGACGCTGTCCTGCTGTTATCGCCAGTCAAGAGTAACCACGCGGACCTGTCTCAGGGACCTTTCGGGGATGGCGATAACCTTCACCGCCCCGCCCCCTCTCTTTCCCTCCTTTAGCGGCCTTGCGGGTTGCGGGGCTTGCGGAGAACGGCTGGTCCGCTGGCGGCGCTCAGCGCCCCCTGTCGGCTGAGCGCCGGACTTGCGGCTTCGCCTCGTGGCGTGGCCGAGCGTGGTCGTAGGCCCGTCCGCGTCACCAGCCACAATCTATCAATCGGCACTGCCAAGGTTGCCAATTGTGGGCCGACCGCTCGGTCCCCGGCGCGGGTGTTGCGGGGCCGCTGCGGGGGAGGGGCGACATGTCGAGTTCATTGGCCGGTCAGCGCGGCCGGAGATGGGCGATAGGCGCGCGCCTTTTGAACGGACGGACCGGGAGGGAAGTTTGGAAGTACAGCGCGAGCGGCACATCGCGCAGAGCAGACCCAGTGTTGCTTTGTTGCTCTGCCGCCGCGGGGGCCGTGTGAAGAGAGGGGAAGGCGGGACGAACCGGACAGTGTTTAGTGAAGACATCCGTGGTTTATTGGGCTCCGCCGCCGCGTCCGCTGCTCTGCCTTACTTGCACGGGTTGGCCGGCGGCTTTGGGGGACATGACCTCGGTGGCGGGGGTGGTGGCGGCTGCGATGGCGCGTCTGGGCAGGCCGCCGGCGTCGGGGGCTTGGGGGGACACGGTGGCGGCCCAGGAGGAGGCGGCGCGCACGGCGGACACGTCGGTGTCGTCGGTGTCGTCGGTGGGCACGGGGGCGGGCAGGGCGGCGCGGGCTCGCCGCACGGCTGGCTGGGTGGAGTCCTGGGCGTGCACGCCGGCACGGACGAGGCAGATGCGGCCTGCTTTGCTTGCTTTGCCCCCGCGCCAGCCGCTCTGCTCACCCGCGACCCCTGAAAACCCCTGCAGGGTTCCACAGAACAGCGACTCGAGCGGAGACGTGCCGACCACCCAGTGCGAAACGACTGTTCAAGCGCTATCGAAACGTCGCCGGAAAGGCAATCGACGTCATAGCCCTGCCGTGACGTCGACATCGTTTTAACAGTCCTTGCTCACTGGGCTGAAAGTTTAACGCGCAAACCAAAACAGGCTCTACCATTCTCAGCCCCACCTCAGGACCCTCGGGACTGGGCTCACCCTGCTAGCGCTCTTGGTAGATTCACTTTCACTCTCTATTTTACAATTATTTTCTGTCATTGTTTGGTCAGAGCACCCAGTGTTTCCGAGCAACCGTGCAAAGGGGTGTGTGTAATTGATTTAAATTAAAAGAACAGACTTTGTCCAAGAACTGCACTTTTTGCACTTTTTACATACACAAAGGAACTGTTTTGAAGGGCAGCTTTGTGCTCTTGGAAGAGTATACAGAAGATTACTGTTCACATTAGGAATATGTGACAACAATGTGCGGAGGAAAGAAGATATAGATATATGAAACTTATTTGGTGTAACACATATAATTTTTTCCATAGAGTGATAACATTAAGGTACAAACCAACAGTCATAATGGTTGGATGCACTAATAAAACGATCATACATTGTCTTTTTTTACTTGTTTTGCATTATATCCAATTGCAATAACAAATTGAACCCTTTAAAAACACACAATTGCAATGGAATGAGATGACATACCATAAGTCTAAACTTTATCTGAAGACTACATTGAAATGCATCAATTACAACCAAATTATGAGTGTGCAGCCATACCTTGCCTCTGTTATAAAATGGCGTATTGTAGATCAATCATATAAACATTTGATTACTGCAGATTGATGCTGTTCAGATTCACTTAAGCAAATGAAGCGTTCAGAACACACAAGAGAAGAGTTCGGTATACATGCATTGTGGTGAGCTCTAAATCATCTGCCGAATGCAAAATAAATTTTAGAAAAGATAAAAATCCTCTGAATACAACTACATAAAAGAAAAATATTGGATATATATGGGATGGACCAGAAAAAAATCAAGGTTATTTGCTAGGAATATCAAGGATATACTTAACCACAAGATAACAAAGACAGAACAGACATACATATGAATTGCTTGCAAGTGTGAGTCTGAAAGACACTTCCAAAGCAGTTATAAATCAACCTATGTACAATTTTATCTATTTTTAGGTATAATTGGGGTCTCTTCTCTAAAGTTGTTTTCTCGGTGCTGAGGAATAGGCTTGTTAGGTCCAGGCTCAAAAGCAGGAGGAACCAATCAAGCTATGTACTACAAGAATGATGATTCATACACAAAAAGCTTATTGAATAAACTTAAAAGTATCACATATTAAAATATCAGTGCTTGGACCTCAGCTACACCAGCCCTGATTATAGTGAGCATACACATGTCATGACTCAACAACTGAAAGATAGTTGGTGAGAATAGAGATATGCAATCAAACAGAGGAACCAGACAGTTAATCAATAATGATTTTTCCTTATGAGGCAAGTAAGCATGGCACACTAAAATATTCCCAGTGAATTCAATGTAGAATACCCTAATACAATTTTTAAGACTCAATATAACTGATTTGAACACAAATAGACTAGAGTCATTTTGAAGACAGTTTTACAATACTTCAATAGAAATAAATTTATTTGGAAATTTTCAGCAATGCCTGGCTTATGACTTTTAAATAAACATAATCAGCACAAAAACTATACTTAAAATAATAAACATAGTAAAATCAAACAGGGTTTCCAGAGGAAGTGCCTAAAATACTGCATAAAATATATCAACAATTCATAACAAGAATAAAACAAGATATCTCTTGAATCAAGCTTCTTCATGTATTATTACACATAAACCAACAATAGTTTTAAAATTTAACGATTCAAGGCAGAGTTATAACGGCTGAAAGATGACTAACTCCTGCTTTCTATAACAACTGCAAGTATTAAAACTGGGAGAGCCATAAGGTTATTTGTAGTCATAGTGACACAGGAATGTTCGGGCTACAAATGCAATGATGATGCACCCTGTTTTACACAATATTCCACCAGCTCAAGATAAATTCTCACTCATGCTATTTCAATATGGCACAATTTAAAAAGTGAGACTAAAGGTTGATTTACTTTACATTAAATTGTAACAAATCCAATCTATCACATAAAGCTCATTTGCTATGACTTGGGATGCATGAGAGAAAGAAACAAACAACACCTTAGAACCCGCTGATAAGTCTCTTGAAATTATGTTTAAATTCAAAATAACCATAGCAGGATTTTAAACAAAAATTATTGCTTGACAAGAAAGCATTTCTTTGAAATAAGAGCTACATGATTCAACACACACTTCCACTCTCTTATCACTTCCCCTTCCATTGTAAGAATTTGGGTCTGCTTTGCACATAGCCCAAACAGGTAGTTCTAATTTACATTTAAATATCACAATGGGAGTTTGACCGTTAGCTAAATATTTACTCCTTAAGTCCCCTAAATTGTTCAGTTTACATAAAACCTTATACATTTAGATGCTGTGATACTATTTGCAGCTTTATACACAACAGCAGTTTAGGGAAACAACTACAACAGGGAATGCTTCCTTCATGAAAATAAATAATAGCTTACGAGGTATCACAAGACATCCAATATTCAAGCAAATATGAGCTGTCCCATCCTAATTTAGTTAAAGCACAACAATTTTAGCTATAAATATAATAAATATACAAAATATATAACTTCTTTGAAATCCATAACCAATTGTAATCAAATCTAGTCATTACGGTTGGAAGTTCAATATCAATGATGGTGCAAGAAGAGCATTTGCACTTATGGCAGGTAGAGTGATACATGGCCAAGCCTTGTTGTGAAGCCTAACTTAAAATCAAGAAACATGCAGCAGCGTTCACATGAGACAGCAACGTTTCAAATCTGAGTCAAGATCATCATCCAAATCTGCTCTATCAGGGACTTTTCCAACAACATTAGGCATATACTGATCCTGGCAGAGGCCTTCTCTTTCATAAAACAACATATATGCTGAACTTGTGTCCATTTGATTGGTAGTGACTTCCTGTAACACAGAAGTTAAGTAAAGACTCAGGTAGAGAAAAATAGATGTAGTTCAAGTTACTCAGAATAGAAGAATACAATCAAGAGCATAAAGAAAGCAAAGAGATTGAACGACATTAAACTAACTTACCCTACAACTGCTGTCATTATAACAATACCACTTGCCATTTGGATTGCACGCATATGATACATAATGACCACCACCTAAAATTCCAGAGTGGCACTGGGCATAGACAAAACACAATTAATCATTATAAAGATTTCAAAGTCTAAAAGACAGTACAGCGACTGAGTACATGAAAACTTACAACAACAGCATAAAGACGGTATTTCAAATCAAATGGGTCTACCCCAGGTAATAGACGGTGTTGATGGAAGTCTTGCAAGGCTGAATCAACGACAGGTGACTGAGTTAAAGATGTTGAAACAAGACGCTCCCTGCCAACCTTAATTGTCTCGGTTGGCCTGAGAACATCTTTGCTTGCGCCAAGATCTCCATTAGCCATGTCTCCCCGTTCATTTTCGCCTTCCCATATGGTGTCTGCCTTGGAAGATTTGCGATAAGCGGAGTGTTTTCGTGAACCATCATTCAAATTGTTAAGAGGAGTAGATACTCGTCCACAGTCCCCTTCCTCAGCAATGTTTCTGCAACAGATAAATAGTAACAATTAATTTTACAACAGTTCTAAATTCATTTCAATGAGGAGAATAAAATACGATCTTACAGATCATGGTGAGAGCCTTCATTTTGACAGTTCTCAGTTTTCAACTGATGATGTCTTATGACAGTTTGCTTAGGAACGGCAGCAAGGTATGAAGTCGGGTTGAAATGATCATATGGGAAATTTACTACTTTCTGTGATTTAACCCATTTTCCACCAACGAATTGAAAGCGTTTAAGATGAACAATCTATTAGGGAAGAAACAAAAGTTCATTCATCATTAACTCTATGATATAAAAAAAAAATCATGAATACTTGAACAGTACTCACCAAAATAGGAGGCAACCTCCAGATCTGAAGCTTTTTACTTGCAAGTTGATGGTCGCGGCACTTTGAGCAATAATATTTTTCATCATCAGCAAGATGCTCTTCTTTGGTGAAAGCCTCAAGGCAAGAATCTAATTCAATCGGGCTTGATTGCTGTTGTCGTGTTTGGGCAACTGACGGATGCTCCTTAAAGACCTAGGAATGTGAAAAAATTGACGCATTAAGATGTAACACACAAGAATATGGGTTAATAAGAATGCATAAGTAAAAATCATAAATTTTCTTGAAAATATTACCCGTTCTTGTGACGTTTGATAGCGCAGGTGAAGAGCTGTGGGATCCCAATCAACAGCAAGGTAGCTACTACTCATTTTAAATTCAGTGTCGTTGCATTGTATTCTGCAGCCCCGACAGAAAATATACCATTGACACCAGGCGCACTGCACTCCTGTTGAATTGACAGCTTTTAAGATGAAAGGAAATTCATAGCCTAAGCTGTCATCACTAGAAAAAGAAAGAAATTAGGGTTTCAGTTCTTACAAAATATTATGAATATGAATTTAAAAGAAAAGAAACAAATTTAATACCAATCCTGAGCATGATTGGAAACTGCAGGGTCAGTTGGTGGAAGAGGGGACACTAATCTGGCTACTTGAACCCAGACTGACTGATACAAATCCTGATGAGTAGTATTTTCTGAACATGGTACAACAATAGGTAGCCCAAAGAGACTTGGTTTTGTCTTCTGTGATGACATGAAGTATACATCTTGTCGGATCTGTTTGACAAATTTTTTTTTTTCAATGAAATGAGCCAGAGCCTCCTTGAGAGACAGTTTTTTTACTATTGTTATTATGCTATAGTTATTATTAATGAAGTAAAAAAAATTACCATTTTCCGATGTACTGCAACAATGTAACCAGTATGAGAGGGTAATCCAACATCCATATCGCACAAGCTACCACTGCTTGCAGATCCTTGGCTACTGCATGGTGCCAGTGGTAAACTTGCAGTGGATGTGGGCAAACCAGAGTCTTCAGATTCAGCATCTGGGCTGTCTTTAGATTCTTTATCCCTTGGAGGTGAAGACGGGCTCTGGAGGTATGTACACAACATTTAGAGAAAAACACTATGAAAGCTATTGCATATGTAAAACCAGCATTGAAATTGTTTTCAAAAATAATTTCAAAATATACTGAAATTTCTGGCCAATCAAACCCATCGAGTTCCATTGTCTCCAATAGGATTACTACAACTAAAGAATAAAGCTCTTATTATGTCTATCTTTTACAAAACAAACATTATTGTTATGAATGCAAAATGTAATTGACTAGGCACACCAAACACACAGAAGATAAATAAGAGAATACACAAAACCATAAGCAGCTCAATGAACTGAATGAAACTGAACACTCAAAATCATGAGACCAAATGGATTCAAAAGGGGAATTTCTGTTACTGGAATATCATAATTTACATATTTTATGAATAGAGGACACAACTCACTGATTAAAGTAAAGTGTATGAGAACTCATGCAAAAATATTATCAGCTAATAAGCCCGAATGAAGTGAATAAGTTCAGTGTGAAACTTTTGCTAAACAAACAATAAAAAAATTATGAAAAGAAGTATTCTATTCAAACTGCAAACCAAAACTTCAATAAAACATTGCTATTTATGTACAGCCGAAATAAAAACAAAATGTACCACATAAAAGATATGTACCGGTACATAACATGCAGATTACCTCCACCTTTGACACTGTAGGGGTAAAACATTGGTCAACCAAAAAAAAACTAAAATACAAAGAGAAGCACCAAAATTCTACCACACCAAAGTAATCATCACCCAAGAAGGATAAAACTTCATAAAACGTAAAATAGAGCAATAATTTGTAAGATACCTACAATATCCTACATGCATAACACTAGTAAAAGTAAAAAAAGAAAGCAAAATTTGAAAGGAAGGAATAATCTACTTCACAGTGTGGACAATGCCCGTGCAAATAGATACTTAGTCTTTTTTTTTTCCTTACAGGATTGTCTTGGGGACATCTATTATCACTCGTGTAACTTTTGTATAGAAAACAATGCAAGGGACATTTATAAGTTGAAAACAAAGTTCTTGACAAGTCTGCTTGTTAAAGATATGTAGAACTCCCCTTTTAACAAAACATACAGGATTTTATAACATGGAAAAAATGATTACTAGCGATTGAAAATCACAAGTAAATCAAACTCTAGATTAACTTTTGATGCCCTCTTTACACTTGGACTCCTTTGTTTTACCCTCCACTTTTGATATTTACTTTGCAGGACTTAATTTTTATTATTAGGTAAAACAGTAAGTGGCAATTATAGAGGTACATATATTTCATTTAACCTAATAATCAGAATTCACTGCATTCAGGCATGTCCATACTTATGTTTAAGTGATGACAGAACGCTTATCAGCAATATCAGCAGGAAATGCTTGACAAAAGCACCATAAAAGATTGTATATTTACATTTTTTATAACGAAGCACGATCTTTTTACATGAGGGTTGTTATAGATTAGCGTGGTTAAATTTGCTGACAAGCGCCCTGGTACCACAATACGTTTGTGACAGAAGGCAGCAGTACTGTACCTTAAAGCACAAGAGTGCAGGCATGCAGAAAGTCGTTGGCCAGAGTCTTACCTCACCGGCCGGGCGGGGGGCGGGCCGACTACCGGAGCCCGACCACACGCTCGCCGTTTCTTCATTAGCGTGGCCATTCAAAACACTTGCACCACCTGGATAAAGAAACAGTGATACAGTCATTCTTTTAATAATGTTCTTTGTTGTGGGAATGAATTAAAAATATACCTGAGGGAACAGAACGTGGAGTTACAGTACGCTGAATTGCCACAAGAGTTTGCCCTTCCCTTTGAGAGCGTGTTGAGCATAATGATGAGCGTTCATCATCAAAGCTGCTAGAATTTTCTGAGGCAGGAAGTTCATATGCATAGAGGGAGCCTGCCACAGGTGTCTTAATTTTTTGATCATCAGATGGTACATTCTGCAAGTTAGATGTAGAGTTAGAAGCAGTTCTAGCACTCTAAATCAGAAAAAGAATTAGTAAATGGAACAAACCTTAATTTGAGCTTGGTTTACTTCAGCCAAGCACAGAAGGTGAGATGAAACATCACATAACTGAGCTAGTTGTAATTTGAGTTGAGCATACTTTCCATCCATATTAAGTCTGAGTCCATACTTAACAGGAACCGAGCCATCAAGACGTATAACTAAAATAGACAAGAATTGATTGAAAGGAAATTTACATTAATTTTTTTAAAGGCTCAATTTGTAGAGAAACTAAAATAGAGAACACTCACCTATTACTTGAATGTACACATAAGACTCCATGGGAAGTGGTAATGATAGATAGTTGAAAGGATCAAACCTAACACTTTCATGAGAGCACACCTTGCATATCACCTTTGACTTAAGTTGACCATGAAATAAGTCAACTATTATAGATTTATTACGCAAAATGTGATTTTCCCAGGCCTGGAAGAGACATTTAGAGCATGTAGTATAAACCATGAACCAAACTCAAATACGTAGAATTTAAAATTGACAAGTTTCAAACCTCTTGAGCAACAGTAACATCTGAGCGTCCATCACTGTCTTTAAGTTCTGTATATGGCTTGTCATGAACACGGTTCAAGTCTTCATGCAAGCCATCTAAAAGAAATGCAAGGAGTTCTTGTGAATCATGCTGCTGATCTCCATTAAACCTTGGGGCATACTTTCCAATGGTCCACTGTTGAAACAAGATAAAAAAGAAGTTTAGATTTATGGAGAGTTGGAATGAAACAGTACCTTAGCACTATCTTACTCTAAGTTTGAGGGGAGCGATGGTTTTAGCTGAGCCGCTCCAAATATCTTGAATCAAGTCCCCGTATCTCTTTGCAATATGACCTTTCATACCTAATGGATTTGTTCTAAGAAAAAGACAAGATATAATATATTTTGCATGGTCTTCCACGTTGAAACAACCAAATGATAATGCTCACGCACCTGTTAAGCTCATAAAGATGCATGTTTCCAGTAAAATACTGAGTGAGTGATCGAGTGTTACTGACACACTGAAGAGCTGCATTCATAAAGCAAGTGTTTCCAAGATTATTGAGGCCTGTTGCTCCTTTCTCCGCAGGAACTAGACAAAAGAAATCATGTAAAAGCATAGAACAAGGAGAAAACACAATGAGATAAGCATAATTAAAAGTTTGGTTTTGTCCACTGACTGATGTGATTTCTACCTGAAGATGACCGTCTTCTGTCCTGAAGTCCTCCCATTTCTTCAGGCCAAGTGAGGTCTTTATTGCGAACTTCAATCAGCAGCTGATCTTCATCCACAATACGAAGATCTTCTAATGATGCCTCCTCATCTTCCAGAACGATCATGTTACTCTGGAAAAACTTTGTTGGTTAGTAACCAAGTATAAAAAGCCTTACTAGTTACTGTAAACTGAAACTTAAAGCATGGAGGCCTACCTCATCCTTAAAATGCCAAAGCCTCATATCTTCTGGGCGTATCCTAAGTCTCTGACTTAGAAAGTCATACACTTCCTTCACAGTTGCCATTCGACTAAATGTAGCACTGTGAGCAAGGTAACGCTTGGGTTGAGTAAGGTTTGAAACATATGCATAGCCTGTAGTACCTGGTAGGGTCAATTTTTTGTTTACTTATTGAACTTCAAAGTTTGATCAATTTTAAAGAAAGCTTGTTAAGGTTTCTTACTGAGAGCAGCTGCACCATACCCCCCAACCATACCAGTCCAGGTGGTTTGAGGTCCTGGACGAGAAGGTTGATTTTGGTGTCTCAAAAGACGTATTGTTAATGGATAAAGCTCTAACTCAACCTGAGAGCTATTTTGGGGCTTAATGACTTGTCTTGGCAGGGCAGGGGCACCACCATACCATTGATGAAGTGCTTTCCACAATGAATCAGGTACAAGTTCAAAATCTTGCCATCTTCGGAGTATAAGATTTTTTTTCAGTTTTCCACCCTCTCCAGTAAGTGACAGTACTCTTTGCATGGGAGTTGCCACTAGCCCTAAATTATCTATGGCTCCAGGTTTTTGGGGCATTCTCTGTCCCACTACATATCGTCTGTTAGGCCTTGGTGAGTGAGTTGGACTAGAAGTGATACTATAAAACAAATTGAATTAACACAGTATTCAGAGGTAAATGTTTACATTACAGTGAAATGTCTGTAATACCTGGGGCAGTCCAGTGTCAAATGAGTAAGTGAATTTGTAGATTCTGTTAATTTTGTTCTAATAGGAGCACCAATACTGCTGATGCCACTTGTTCCACTACCATTGCTACTGGTGAGAGAGGGTGTCTGTAGCTCTAAACTTCCAGCTGGAGTAGCAGCATCCACACCAAGGGAATATTCAAGCACACTAGTTTGCTGTATTGTTAAAAAAATATGTTTAAAAATGTATAGTAAAAAAATAATTATTGAGAGCTTTGAAAATAGAAATATTTGCTTTACACTTACAGTAATGGCTGGGTACGGCATGGAAACATATTCATTCCATGCTTTCCACCAATCCATTGCCACTAAATACCAGAATTGACCAACAATATATCCACGCTTCTCCTCCCTTTCAAGCCATCCATTTACAATAGATCCTTCCTCTTGTCTAGATTGCGGCCTTAGACCAAGAACTACATGACAAACCTGAAAATATGGAACAAGAGACAAAATCATTTGCTGTCTGCAATCAGTGGTATAATGAGTAGGCGTAACCACTTACTTGAAAGAGCAGGTTTAGAAAGTGCGATGAGAGATTGTTGTCAACTGTCCATATCAGATATTCTTCTAAAGTGAGACCCTCATTACTGGCATATTTTTTAATATCTGAGATAATTGTCTCAGGATCTAAGACAATAAGAAACATAAAGATAGTATTAGAAGAGGAGTTTTTGGATCTGAAATTACACTTTTGAGACTAACAAGTTAAGGAAACATACTGCTTGACTCGTCATTAAAACTAGTGTCATCTTTGGATCTACTTTCTTGTCGAACAAACAACAAAACATCCACCATATGCTTTAACTCTTCAGGTGACAAAATACCATCTCTATCACTATCAAATACTTTGAAGCAAACTGGAAACAGAATATATTTTAATTTTAATTTAAAAACAATCTCCAATGAAATAATTTACATTTTTGCCGTTCAGTTGTAGGGCCTCGGCAGGCAGCAGATATTCCACAAGCCATCTCTTTAAAATCAATATGTTGATCTCTATTCTCATCAAAGGCTCCAAAAACGCCAGAGCAGACTGACAGTGGGACAGGTGGGCTTAGTAATGGCCCCAGAGTTTCAAGATCGAGCCGACCAGTGCTAGACTGTCCTTTCAGGACCCAATATCGCTTTTCCAATTCAATAATGTCCTTTTCTTCCACTGAAAATTTTAACAGAAAGATCAAGTTAGAGAAAATGAAGAAAATGATGCAACCACAAATACAAGTTAACACTTACAATGTGTAACCCCAGCAAGGGTTTGATAAAATGTTGGAGTTTCATGTTCGTTACTGAGAGAGACAGAACAAGGTTCAGAGAGCAGCCACCTACTGAGGGATGTGGCGTTAGAATTTGATAGAACCCAGTCACGAAACTCCTCCCAAGTGGCTCTATCTCGATCTTGAAAAAGATGAGAAAGCTCCAGGGGCTTCCTGCCATTTTCACATGCTGCAAGTAGCCTTTCAATATCCTCTCGTAAAACATAAGTTCCAGGATCATTGGAGTACAAGTTAAACAGAACTGGAAAGTAATCGTAATATAAAAATCAGTGCAAATGCAATAACAATGACCAAAAGAGATTAAAAGGTTAGAAATTATTGCTGAGCCACATACATTTAATCTTTTCCTCTTCTTTTCCCCGGGTTAGGAGAACCAAACCGCACAGAAGTTCTTTGAATGCAATGCCTTTCTGTGTGCCCCCAGATGCTGAAAAGATGTGCTGAAAACAAATGGTTTTGATAAAAAACTTTTCTATTTGAAAACGCAAACACATCACTAAATTATTTACTTACTTCTGCAATATTTCGTGGAACACCTTCTCCAAGAACTTCCTTAAGAAAGGATGACTTGGAAATGAAGCCACTGACATTGGAAACACGTTTAAATGCTTCTCTGATACGCTTTAATTCTGACTCACTCACTGTGAAACAATAACACAGATTAGTATACACCGATTTCCTTGTGTGGGCAGTAGTGCAATGGGGTTAAATTAATGTTTTGTTGACATCGAATTGTATGGCATCAGGATGAAGCACGAAAAAATGACAGCAAATATTTTGCTTCATTCAATGTTTATGGAGATATTGAATTTAGTGACAATTAGTTGATCTCAGAGTGTAATGATTACTTGAAATTGAGACTAACACAAATGTGATGCCGTAAAAAACAATAACATAAGGTCCAACTTTCAAATACTAGGGGCAGAGTGTCAAACAGAAGTTGTCAACGTAAACAGAAATAAGAAAGGTATAATCTGAAGGAAAGATATTTGATTCATAAGACATAAGCATGGCAGGTACTACAGTGGGGAATGATGTTGACATTTCAGGGTAACACAAGAAGGATCACTCTTACCTCTCCGGACAGCATCTTCGTACGTAATACAACAAGGTTTTGAGTCCTTTACGCCCATTGCAAGGTGCTTGGCTCTAAATCAGTCACTTCAATGAATAAATTAGGGTGGAACCATTTAATGGGCTCATGTTTATCACAGCAGAAAAGTTGTTCAGTGAGAAACATTACACATCCATCTTGGATTTCCACCCAATTATTCCTGATGGCATGATGTGAACGGCCCCTCTCCTATCTAGAGCGATGATTAAAGTGATAAGCCTTATCAGCGCATGCCTAGGAAATACTCAAACATAAATACCAAATTCTAAACAAGCAAAGTGCAAATTTCAGACAGAACTCTTAAGTCGTCATAGGTCGTTTGTCCACTGGGGAGATATGTTTCTAGATCACTGACCCACCCCTCTCTGCCTCATACCAGTATGGAACTCAATGTTTTGCCAATTTACGTTACATAAAATCTGCTCATATTTCTCATGTATTAGAATTTGACGCCCAATTAGTGTGGGTTCTTCCGAGACAATTATGACCAGACTACGTTTCCACGATTCACGTACCAACAAATCTCCCTTGTGTTGTGTGTTCGAAGTCCTTCACGTGATCAGTCACGTTTGCGTAACAGTACAACCGTGCGATGAAAACAATCGCTCCGTACTCGCTCAACGTGCTTATGTTGTCATGCCATTCCGAAGGCTCGACCATAACGAAAGGCGACATAACATGCCATAAAAACTCCGAAAATATAAGAATATTGTGTACTGAGGTAATTCTCTCCACAGAATGTAGTTTTGTTAACAGTGATGTGAAAAAGTCGTCAGTGATAAATGGTTATTCAGGAAAAGGGCAACAAAAGAGAGTAATTTTAAGTATTTTGTTTATTTAAAAATGGGAAGTGTTCTTGTCCACAAGTGGAGCTGCCAGTATTTTGGAAGTGAGCCTGAAACAAAACAAAAAAACAAGTTGGTAAAACAAATGTATCCGATACGAAGGATATCGATTGGCCCTACAACACAACTAGAATCCCATAACCCATTATATCAGAATTTTGAACGTTTCAGTGACGCTAAATGGACTGAATCATAAATCTGTCTTGGACAGGTCATCAAAGGGGTAACAAATCGTCTCAGTTCAAGGAAATGTAATTAATTATTGAAACCCCACTCCAGTATCACTAAAATGCAGAAAAATGTGTTGAACAGGAAGACAAGTTGTCCAGTTAAAGCAAGGAGACTTCTGTTCAGTTGTTCCCCGCATTTATTCCAGCTTTACCAGAATGCTTAGACATTTAGCAAACGCAGGCTGCAGCACTAAAAGCAAACTCAGAAATGATGCTTCCCTTGTTTCAAATGGAGGGCCACCTTCCCTCGTTCAGGCCAACACAAGCACCTATTAGCTCACCGGACTTACCGAAAGAATTTTGAAGACAGAATGATGAGCAGTCTACTTGGACCTCGCCCTCATCTTCCTCCTCTTGCGCTTTAGCCTGCGCATACGCTTCTTCCTCCACTGAAACAAACACCACAAGATTAGAACATGTACCACATAGCAGTTTCAGGAACATAAAGGTAGTTGGCGAGAGATCAGTTTTAATTAAATCATGCTGCTTGACGCATCATACTTTGAAGAGAGATATTAGCATCATTTCAATTGCCAACTACCTAGATGAGAATTAATGTATCTTCAGTTGTCACAACTCCTTGGTTGAAAGGTGGTTTAACATCCCAGGCCACTTAAATGTATCAGGACACATACACCACAAATATGGTCTAGGGTCAGATAGATCCACGAAAAAAATATTGAAGTGCCAGTTACTGTTCAATTGATCACCTCACTGAATGTATGTAGCCGCCTTGCTCACTTGACAAATTTTGACTACAAGTATATCGTTAAGCTCAAGGCAAATAGAGTCCCAAACGTGCATCGAGCCCACAATGTGACAGAGACACATGTTCAATAAAAGGGGAGCGGGAACAGTAAGTCACGACCAAGGCATGCTTGATACATGAGAAGACTACAAACAGCGGGAGCACAGTTTAACACTTCAACGGAAGAATCACAAGCCATGAAAAGGGGCCATCATGAAGAAAGGGGCTGCACCGCACAAAAGATAGGGGCGACTTGAATAGGAATGAGGATACCAAACGGATAAGAACGTGTAGCCCGCCCGGTGGCATGAGCCGGGAGGAGAGGTTAGGGTGCAAATGCCGATCGAAAAACTGGGTTGAATTCACAAAACAATTTGAACGAAACACTCGTCAGTTGACAGGAAAAACATGGGAGCAGGATGTTGTAAATCTCGACTCTACTAATGAGAACGCGGACACAAGTTGCTGCCACGAGGCATGGCCATCCATGATGGCTTATGTCTGAACACACGAGACTGACGACCCAGCACACAAGAAGGTACTCGCAACAGAGATACGATGAAACACACAATACAAAGCGTAAAAACTTACCTTAGCGCGCATTTTCCTGAAGTTTAGAAGTAAACTTCAGAAATCGTAGCTCGCGGCTCAGCGAGGACTACGTCTTCCACGGCGTGCAGACAGTGAAAGAATGGCAGATGCGACGACAGACCGGAAAGCGGATACTCTTATACCATCACGTCACAACGGCAGCGTTGCCTGTCCTCCATCTGGTGGCCGTGGTGGTCAGGAAAACGGTTCTTCGTAAAATCTTTTGTGACATTATTTTATTATCTAACGAAATGCTTTTTTTGAAATAACATTAAAATTCAAAATATCATTGCCTGTTTCATTTTTTTTCTAGATACTTTTCTTCCACATATCTGACCGTAACCACCAGTCTGACACTTGACAACAGCGCTTCAGCTTCATGATTTGTTGACTGCTGTGAAGCTTGGGCCGCTAAGCCGCTTCTGTTGTAATTTTCGTAAAATACGCTGTATTTTGTCATTCTTATTGGGTCTTCAAGTAGGCCGGTAAAATGTCTGTCGCATTTGCAACTCGAGGGCGACCACCTTCCAGCCCTGCCCCGCTTCACGTTCAAAAGGTAAGGGATAAACAAACCTACTTGGCACCATCTTGCTACGCTTCCGATGACTTTTTACAAAACCGTCAGTTAGGAGTTCTAGATCTAAAAGAGTATCCTTCATGGTGACACTGTGTCTTACAACTTGTCACAGTGTTGTCACGCATCATTCCATCTCCATTTTGAGTACTATGTACCAAAGTCTGTCCCGAAAAATACGAATTTCGGTCTGTCGGCGTTTTAATTTCCTGCTACTCATTCATATACAATCTGACATTCTTCAACCCTTGGCTATTAAAATATCTTGCTTTTTAGTGCCACTCATTCCAAGTCTCTCTAACTTAAACACAACTAGCAATCCTTCAGTCTGGTTTTCTTTGTACACTTTTATGTTATTTCTCATAGTCAATGGTCATACTTTCACGATTTTGGGTTTTGATCTTTGATCGAATGAACTGTATCTGTAGAACAATGTCAGTAGCAATAATTACAGTATTCAAAATAATCTTGTGCAATAACTATCAGTCCCTAGTTATTTGTTTGTAGTTCTGTATGTCAACTTAATTTCTTTTGGGTGTATTTTCTATTTCTAGATGCTCGATGAAAACAACCATCTTCTGCAAACTATCCAGGACTATCAGAATAAAGGAATGGCCAAAGAATCCATGCAGTAAGATACGACTTTCAGTTTTTCTTCAGTATATCTGTATTTTTGTGCTTTTTCTATTAATTTTTGGTTCTGTGACAGATACATTGAGGTTCTTCACAGAAACTTGGTCTACCTGGCATCAATAGCTGATGCACCTGAAAACACACTGCCTGTAAGAAGTCCACCTTTGTATACTAAAATTTGTCCAGATAAATATACTTAGTTTTAGAAATAAATTTCAAATTTGTAGAAATACACATAGAAATTTACAGGAATAAATGTTAAAATTAACAAGAGTAAATATTGAAATTAATAGGAATAAAAATCTTCAAATCCAGTATTTGGTTTTACAGCCTATTCCCTCTCTGAGTGGGGAAGCACCTAATGCAGGGCAGGTCCCTCCACCAACAGCGTCACACATTGGCAGTTATGGTGCTCAGCAGGGCGGCGGATACAGGGGTCAACAAGGCATGCCAAGTAAGCTGATATGGCAATCAATTCGAAGATTTTCTTTGTCTTTCGATTTGTTTCTTAACAATACCTACATACATAAAGATAACAGTATGTAATCTGTGGCATATGTATATCAATTCTGTGTTGCAGGACCTGGTTCAGTACCAACTGGTTCCAGACCTCAGCAGTACCGAGGAGGACCCCAAGGGTATCCTCCGCAGGGTGGACAACAGGGTTATGCTGGACAATATCCTGGACCAGGACAAGTATGTTGAGTTCTTTGAAGATTTGATTTGTTTTTATCATACGCTCAAAGCAAATCTAATTTGTATTCTACTTTTTGTTGAAGGGCTACCCTCCTTCAGGCCAACAGGCTCAGAGTGGACAGGCTCCAGGGGGCTACTCTACACCAGGTGCACCACAGGGCTACGGTGGTCCTCCACCTGGTCAACAAAATTATGGAGGCCCCCCTCCTGCAGGACAGCAACCTGGGTATGGCCCTCCACCATCAGGTCAGCAAGGATATGGACCACCCCCACCAAGTCAACAACCTCCAGGGTAAGTGTCTAGGCTATAATACAATCACATATTCTTCTTATTTTCTAATCAAACACTTAAAATGTGTTGTGCTTTCTTTTTGACATATTGATTAAGCTTGTAAAAAATGTTTGCAGGTCTGGTTATGGTCCACCAGGTGGTCAACAACCGGGCTATGGGCCTCCACCGTCAGGTGGACCTCCCTCCCAACAAGGTGGCTACCCCAACCCAAGCAGTGGTGGGCCCCAGGGCAGCTATCCCGGTACCCCTGGGTACGGTGCACCTGGATATGGTCCTGGACCTGGAGGTCAGCCTGGCTCTCAGCCCGGTCCAGGGGGAAACTACAGCGGGTCTGGACCTCCGTCCAGCTACCCCAGCCAGCCGGGGCAAGGGTATGGTGCTTCCGGTGGACAGTACCCTAACAGTAGCCAGGCCAGCCCCAGCAGGGGATCTGTGCCCACCTCGACGACACCAACATATTCAAGCGGATCCAGCGGCGCTCCGCCAAGCCAGAGCTACCCGCCCTCGAATCAGCCAGGACACCAGCCTGGTCATCAACCAGGACATCAGCCCGGCCACCCACCAAGTCATCCACCAAGTCACCCTCCCGGTCACACGTCAAGTCACCCACCCAGTCATCCACCTAGCCACCCACCGAACCATCCACCAAACCATCCACCGAGCCATCCGCCTAGCCACCCGCCCAGCCATCCTCCCAGCCACCCACCGAGTCACCCGCCTAGCCATCCTTCAAGTCACCCCTCGAGTCACCCGCCCAGCCATCCTCCAAGCCATCCACCCAGCCATCCCCCGAGCAACCCACCCAGCCATCCTCCAAGTCACCCACCCAGCCATCAGCCAGGTCACCAGCCTGGTCCAGGATACTCACCCTCGTCATCGCAGCAACCCCCTCAGCAGGCTCAGGGCCAGCCACCATCAAGCCAAGCGTCTGGTCCTCCCACTCCAGGTTCATTCCCACCACCCAGTCAGTCATCATCCAGCGGCCCACCTCCACCCAGCAGCGGTCCTCCTGGGCAACCATCGGCATACAGCACCTCGACAACGCAGTCGTACGCGCCGCCGCCTCAGGCCGGCCCAGGACACCCCTACCCCCAGCACCCTCAACACCATGGCTACCCGGCGCACCCTCAACATGGTCAGCACCCCCAGCACCCCCAGCATCCTCATGCTGGTTATCAGGGGTACCCGCCTCCCCCAGGACCTGGTCAGAACTATGGCCAGTATCCACGCCCGCCTTCCTCTCAGATGCCACCTCCTGGACCGCAAGGACCTCCTCCTCCTCAAGGTTCATTTGGGTCGTATGACCAAAGTCGTTTTCCTGGTTATCAACCCCCTCCTCAGTAAATGTAAACTGTGAATGTATTTCTCTGATACAACTGGGTCTACAATTTCCCTCTCTTTCTTTTGCCAAGTGACACAGTATGCTGTTTATAGCTTTCTTAAATCCTGTAACGTAATTTATCTCTCTTATTTATCGACTGTAGGGTGCATAATTATATGCAAAAATTTGAAGATGCTTATGTAATTTAGTTTCATCATTTTATTTATAGAACTGAATCGACTTGTATAGTGTCAAAACTCTTAAATGAAATAGCTGTTTTGAAAATAATTTTGAAAATGTGTTGTTCTTGGAGTATTAAGTATTTGTCATATTTTTGTGTACTCATTATTGTACAAGTGTGTTTAGTGTGAATTAATTTAAATAACTAAAGTAGAAAAGTGAGCTCTCAACTCATTTTATGATATAATTTTCTCTTAATATGGAGTTCAGTTGTTATCAAAAGATCGGTTATCAACTTTTGCTACAGGTCCTTTTTTTATGCCATGAATTTCAATATTTTATTTCAGAAGGACAGGACACAATTGCTTCAAATATGTTGTTTCTAAAATACTAGGTACATGGTTATGTTACGTAGTTCACCAAACAATGATGTTATTTTGAGCTGCTTATATGACAACTTTCTGATTCTGTGCTGAACGCTATTCCTCTGCTGAATATCTGAGACTGATCCATTGAAACCATGCATTCTTCATTAGAAAAACAACTTTTTTCTGTAAATCTTGTTTAGAGTAGGTTTTAGAAACAATTATTCTTTAAAAATTAGTTTGGAGTTAATTTTCCCCTAGACTTAGTTGTTGAAATTTTTCTCCAAACTATCACTTCACTTAGAGTCAGCTTGTGATGTGGTATGTCGGTATGTGCAATGAGGTGTGTTGTATTTAGTGTATTCTTTTCTTTTCCAAATGCTATGAGCAATTGTAAATATAGTCAGTTCAGTGTAAGTTTAGCAGGTTTTTGTGTACTGTATGTAAGGAAAGGCTGTGATTTATTTTCTTTGTGGTTTGCATAATAGTTACGGACTGGGTCATTGGTACTGTAATAGGTACGAACTGTAATCAATTGGTTAACATATATATGCTTTTCATGACATAACTTATCATTAGTATCATTACTTCCTTTTAAATTTTAGTCATAGTCCAGACAAAACCTTGTATGGTGTCATGAGTTTTTAACTAGATTTTGAAGTGTTGTGTTCATCAACTGAAAAGTAGAAACAGTGTTTAGCAGCTTTTCCTCATAGATCAAATTCTGGGCTTGGCCCACTCTTTCTTGTACTGAATTTGTGTATCATGAATTGTAAGTATGTAGTATATACTTCCATTACAATAAAATGTCAATGACATAAAGAGTTTTTTTCTATCTTACTACTACAATATCTTTGTAGACTTAACTTCTGAACTATTAATCATGTTGACTTATCAATAGAACAAGTCACAAATCATTTAGTCGCAATACTCAAGGCTCCCCCATGAATATTCACTCTGATCTTTAAAATTTTAGTTGGTTTTGCTGTACGACTCGTTGCAGTAGGAAAGAAGAAACAATAGTTTTCCTCTAAAATCTCTGAAATCTTAAGGTAACTGTGTGTCATTAGTATGTTGGTTAATGGTATTTGTAAAAAAAAATTGTAACATGTTTGTTATATATTTCTCCTTGTTTTTCTTTGCATTGATAAAATTGCAGAACCAGGTGTTAATCATTTGCAATCAAATAACAATAACAAATTATAGTTCCACACCTTGAATATAGCACAACAGTACGAATAATTTGTATACAAATATTTTTCCTTTATTCATAACAGAGAGGGTTGTAAAATTAGGAAGGAAAATCTTATGAGGTGACTTCTGGGAGCCTCCTTGAAGTACGTTTCTAGCCCACCAACCAACCGGTCAAGTGTAGCCTTATGAGTTATCGTCGGTTGTCACCATCCTCTCGCTTGAGCCAGTGAGAAATTATTGTAAAGTCATCATCAAAACAACGTCGAGATGCAGGTCGTCTCGGCATAGTTTTTTTTACTTTCAGGCGTTATTCTCCTTCGCCTTTTTAAGTAGCTACTATGGAACCGATGGAATATTTTGGGGAGGCTATTATTTTTAGCTTTAGATGAACGGGCTGCCGGTAGTCCAAGGACATTTACTACTTTTATCTCCTGTCTACAATGGGAAGATTACTTTTTTTGTTGTTGTAATTATTTCTTTTTTTTATGTAATAATTTGCATGTCCACTTGGTCCTAGAGAAGGGAGGCCCTGGTTCACTCTCACCTTGAGAAAAGGCGCTTAGTAAGGCTCACTCACTCGTACTGCTATTATGAAAGACTCAAACCGAGGCGGGAACGGCGGGAAGCGGAGCGCTCCTCCTGTAGCTGTCTTTTGTTTTTGTTTTTGTTTGTTTGTTGTTCACGGTTTCTGATTGTTTGTATTTCGGTCTGTTCGGCTTTTGTGGTTAGGAAGGTTGATGCCAAAGTCTTGAGTTCATGGGCTTGTGTGAGTTTGGGCATAAATCATTTTTGGTTTCATTAGATTAGAGAGTAGTGGCAAGACACAAATTGTAGATTTGTTAAGGTTGGGGTTTATACAATTTCTTTTAATGTCTATTCAGACGTTTGGAATGTCAGTTATAGCTTAGCTTCTGTTTACACATTTGACGACTATTTGCCCTATTACCTCGTTTTAAACGCAAATTTCGTTCTTACGACTTTTTTTAGGATATGTCACGAAGGCTCGAAAATGATGAACTTTTCAAGGTGGTTAAAGACTTCCATGCGAAGGAAAATCGTGAAGTATCTTCTGTGGAGCACCCTTCTCTCCTCCCCAAACTACGTCTATATCAGAAAGAAGCAGTGCAGTGGATGATTCAACGAGAAACTTGTTCAGTGTTTGAAAATATTTTTTTAGAAATTGGTGAGTAATTATGTTTTGGCCTATTCTTCACATGTAACTTTGAGTTGCCACTGTCCCCTTGTCCGTTCTTTCAAGTTGAAGCTGTTGAGGACGACTCTAGCTCTCATGGTGCCAAAGGTTTGCCTGTTGCCAGACTTCCGACTGGCGGCATTTTATCAGATGAAATGGGCTTAGGCAAAACTGTCGAGGTTCTTGCTTGCATTCTTAATAATCCACGTGGAGATGTTGTAAGTATCATCAAGACTTTAAATGAAAATACCTTTGGTAGCAAGTTTTTAAGATTATTCACAACACATATGAATTTATCTCCATGATACTAAGGTGATACCAATTCCAAAAAATATTCAACCAGAAGACCCCAAAAAGGTCAATGAAACAGTTCAATCTCATAAAAAAAAAGCTACTAAAAAAAGGAAACAAAAAGATGATGATGATGATTGGCAACCAAGTTCAAAGAATAAAAAAGAAAAGGGTTCTGCTACCAAAGGTGAATTGGAAATGGAAGCCAAAACAGAGTGCAAGGAAGTGGAGCTAAAAGGAAAGTGTCGCTCTCGTGCTAAACTATTAGCCCAACAATGGTTAGTCACATTTCATGAAAAACCTTTCTTTTTTAGGTGAAGAAAATGCCTCTCATTAAAAGCTGTTTTCTTTTTAAATGTACCAGGTATGAAAGCAAACTATCTGAGGTTAACAAAAACCCAATTAGAGCTTATCGAGAAAGTATTTTTGAAGGCTCACCAAATAGTAGTAGGAATGTTGTTGTGCAGTGCATTTGTAGTGAGACTGGTGAGGATGGCATAATGAAATGTAAGTCTTGCTCCAGATGGTTGCACAAAAAGTGTATTGGGGCTCTGAAATGGAATGGTGTGCAACCTGTATATTGTCCACAGTGTTGGCTGAAACAGGTAACTTCGTGATACTCAGTGAAAATACGGATATGTAGAGAATTTTCTTCTTACCCATCTTGTTTTTTTTATGTGCTTATAGACTCCTGTTCAGTCCCGTGCCACTCTAATTGTGTCTCCTACTTCAATAAGTGGTCAGTGGCTCAATGAAGTTAAGAGGCATATAAGTAAAGATGCAAATTTTAAAGTGCTAGCTTACAAAGGTGTTAGAGTTGATGGGTTTTCACAACCTTATGACTTTGCTGATTATGACCTAATTTTGACTACCTATGAAATCCTACGTCATGAACTGTGTCTCGCTGAAGTTCATGAAAGGCGGAGTCTGCGCTATGAAAAACGTTATTTTTCTCCTACTTGCCCATTACTTTGTGTAGATTTCTGGCGCATATGCTTGGATGAAGCGCAAATTGTGGAGGGCCATGCAACTGCAGCTGCAGATATGGTGTCTCGTTTTTCATCTGTTCACCGATGGGCAGTCACTGGAACACCCGTTCAGAAGAGTCTTCAAGATCTTTATGGGCTTGTTGTTTTTTTGTGCATAGAGCCGTACTGCAATATGACAGATTGGAAAAATATTTTATATGAGCCTTTTTGTAATGGAAAAAAGGGTCCTATGTATACACTTCTCGCACACATCATGTGGCGCTCTTCAAAAATTGATGTGCTGGATCAAATTCAAATCCCACAACAAACAGAACTGCTTTGTTTGAATGATTTTTCTCCTGTTGAGCAGCATTTTTATCTTCGTACTCACCAGGAGTGCTCAAATGACTTCTTGGAGAAACTTTCAAAATTTGAGTCTTTGAATTGGACGTTAGAATCTCTAAAAGTAGTAACAGTTAACCATATTTTGGGACCTCTCCTCAAATTAAGACAAGCCTGTTCTCATCCTCAAGCTGTTCGCGGTAATGTGTTAACAGCTCAGAAGAAAACAATGACTATGCCTGAGTTATTAGAAGCCCTTATCAAGAAAACTGCTATAGAAGCACAGGATGCATTGCGAAAGCACATTTCTTCTCTAAATGCTATTGCAGGCTTACACATAATTTGCAACGAGTTCGTCTCTGCTGCAGAAAAGTACAGAGAGGTACTTCAAATTGCTGATGAATATAAAGGGCGTGTTAATGTAGACACACTTCAGAGAATACACACTATGCACAACTTAGATGAAGTAATCAAGTGCCACAGAGATGTTATACCTCCTACTCTTAGGGATGATTCCCTTTGTGATGAAGCAAAGAATCTTCAAGACAATTATTTAAGTAAATCCCAAGCTTCTGTGATTGCAGCTGAAGAAAACTTAAAAGTGCTGTCAGGTAGTGTTTCTTCAATAGAAGGTAAATTTTCAGAAATGAGTAATTCAAATTGGTGGGTTGATCTCTGTTATGTTTTGGATAGAGAGGAAATGCTACTGAGAATACATGATGCTTTGGTGAACCACCGAAAGAGTTTGGCTGATGTCTCCTCCTCTAGCATCATCAACAGAGTGTCCACCATAAATGGTGTACAGGTCATTTGTAATCAATGGCTGGAGGATATTGAAAAAAATCAAACTAAAGTAAGGAAGGAGCTAGAAGCTTTAAAAGCTGCAGACAGTGCAACTTTAGTTAATGATGCTGTTGATTGTCATCTCAGAGTGAGTAATTTAAAATCAAAGAAAACTTTCTGTCAGCTTTGTAAAGTTGAAAACATTCTGAAAAATTATGAAACTGGCCTCTTTGATATTAAACTTAAGAGAAATGAGAACACAATGGTTGGAGATGTATATCTACTTGGCCAAGGAAAAGAGGGTTCTTGGAAACCAAGTGAACAAGAAACTGTGCTAAGGACAATTTTGTCATTTGGTCGGCAAAAGAAAGCAGAAAACAATTTGGTCAAATCAGGTACATTGTTTATCAAAATAATGGATGCTTTACGCAAAGAATTTAAACCCTTGCGTCTTCTGTGGAGTATGATAAATGAGAGAACTTGTGCTCAAGATGAACTGAATATGTGCAAACTTCGACTAAGATTACGTTTACCTGAAGAAGCAGTTCCTTCTCACGCAATATCAACAAATAGAAGAAAATCGGTCCCCAAAAAAAACAATTTAAGTTCAAATCTTGATACTAAGATGGAGAATCTACATGTGATTGAAATTCACCAGGTCAGGCAGTGCATCCTCTTTGTATTGGTTGCTATGTGTACATTTAGTTGATGTTGAAACAATAATACTACTACTGGTACCTGATAAGTTTTTCCAATTTAAGTCTTACTTGCTTACAGGTAGAAACCATGATTCACCAAAATAAACTTGAAGCAGCCTCAGCATTGAGTGATCTGAAAAAAAAATATGGGACTGTTGCTTATTTACAGAATCTCAGAAATAAAGATGACTCTAAGTCAAATGTGGAGGTGTGTCCTGTGTGCCGAAGTAACTTGGAGAAAAAGGTAGGGACCCTTTAGCATCCCTCTGTTGAACTTGTTTCATGTTAGGCTTTAAATATCACTTTGTACCTGTTTTCAGTGGGCTGTCCTTTCATGTGGTCACTGTTATTGTATGGATTGTGTTTCTGAACTTTTTAAAAAGAAACAAGTTCTGTGTGCTATATGTAGAGAAAACACAAAGTTTGATGAAGTATCTTTTGTGAATCCAAGCTCTGATGATAAGATTGAAAGTACTGAAACAGAAAACAGTTTACCTTCAGTTGAAGGGTCACATTCAACTAAAGTGGAAGCAATAATTAAGAAATTGTTCCTCCTAAAAGCAGCTGATCCTTATGTTAAGGTTCTTGTCTTCTCTACGGTAAGTCCATACATATTTTACAAACCTGTTAACCCAGTCCCTTTATTCATTGACATAATTTTATTCTGTTTAATAACAGTGGGAACGTGTCTTAGATGTTCTTGAGGAAGCATTGACCCAAAATAATGTGAAGCACTTGCGGTTAAGAACTGGTCCAAAATACGAGCTGACCCTGAAACTGTTTAAGGTAAGTAATTGGAATTTGAAATTTTATCTTTCTATAATCTCTAAGAAATATATTTTATGTCAAGAAAAAACCTTGGTCTTTTGCTGTGGAGTGAACATTAAAATAACAAGCCGCTATTCCCTGCTGCTTAGGATCAAGATGAGGAAGATACAGTCACGGCATTGCTCTTGCCTTTAAAGTTAGGGTCGAAAGGCTTGAATTTGACTGAAGCCACACATGTCATGATGGTTGAACCAGTTCTTAATCCAGCGGAAGAGTTACAAGCTATTGGCAGAGTTCATAGAATTGGTCAAACAAGGTATTTTATTTCCTCTGTTAGTTTTTCCAGGGTCATTTAACAGAAGAGCACGGTGTGAACAGTGATCATTTTATTTGTAAAATGTATGTAATGTTTTACTTACCTCTTTCTTTTCAGACCTACTTTTGTCCACCGATTCCTCATAAAAGACACAATAGAGGAAAGAATGTTTTCTGCTGTGCAAGCTACAGGAAAAGAAAAATGGAGTGGAAAGCAAGTAACACTTCAGCAGCTTAAAGATTTATTCACATCATCACAGTCAGCAGTACCTGGAGCTCAAACATCTTCATCTCCCATATTAGTTCAGGATTGAAGTACCTGATTTTTAGTTTGTTTTATATAGTACATTTATCTCTGAACATACGTATTTTAAGGGTAGCCACTATATTCATCTGAATATGCACCCTCTTTCCCCCCCCAAAAAATTGCTTTCAAAGTGTGAGTGTGTGAGTGTGTGTTACTTTTCTTTTTTTTTGGGGGGGGGGGGGCTTCAAGCACACACATTACTATCAACCCGATAGAAGTGGTTAGGTGCTCTCCGAGGACTTTCCCCACTAAAATTTTTTTTGAAAAATTTGAGGCCTTGTAAAGGGGGGGGGGGGTACTCAGATGGATACGGCACATCTCTTATCTTTAGAAACAAAGGTGCAGTTCAAGACAACCATACTTTAGAAATCTTTATTTAATTTTGTCAGCTTCCTATAAATTTAATGATTGCTGTACAGTTTAAATGTTGTTTGCTGGAACCATAATTAAGTCTGTACCCTGCTTAATGCTAAAATATAGCGGAAATTTTCCATCATCACACATCCAAGCAAGTTTTGTTTCATTCTTCAGGCACACTTTGTCTTTCTGAATCATCCATTACTGGTAACAAACAAATTAAAAACTACAACCAGTTCAACAGAAATAATATTATCTACACAGACTAATCTGAGTTTTAACTATAAATATTCTACACATCACAGCTGAGTATCAAAGCAAACTGCAACCATTAGTAACATTTTTAGGAAATGGAGATAATTTAATAGATCCACCAACACAATTCTGTGAATTCAGAAACAAACTGGTTAAGAAGATGTTTTGGACATTATGCTTTGACCAGCTTTTAGATCTCCCTAGCCTGCAGCACCTAGTCCTTAACAAGAAAATTGAGAAGGGAGAAGTCTTACAGAAATACACTACCACTTCATTTTGCAATACCCTGTAAATTTAAAGATATTTTAACACCCTGTATTTTCATAATTCTTTATACTTAACTATTGACAATACAAATATGAGAATAATCTTTGGCATGTCTCACACCTTCAGATATGCAGGTCAAGTAAGGATCACATCCCCTCCATTAGATCATGTCACAAATTTTGACTTGCACTTCTGCAATGTATGGATGTTATCACAAACATAAGATCCTTGCAAATCAATCATAAATGTTTCCACCTTAAGGATCTTTCCAACTGCCATCTTTTATTGGCTAAGCTTCTAATGTGTTTCAGAAATTTAAAATGAACATGTAATGTACAACAGAGTTAAAGCTTGATATGTAAGCTTTTAGACTTTGACTAAGCCATCCAACACAGGTGGAAAGAAATTTAGTGTCTCAGTTTTGATGGACATAAAGAGCACAATTTGGCACAATTTTCTTCAGAATAGTTTCTGGCAACTCACATCTAATATTGAACATGTAAGAAACATCTAATCTCAAAAACCATTTTAAAAATTACCTATTATTAAGAATGCACTGGTGTGAAGCAACGTGTGTACATTTGACTCAATGCCATGAAAATCACACGTGGGGGTTCATAATAACCAATTTATGTAAACTAAAGCTCCAATTTGGAGTGCCCACCTCATCATAAATTAAAAACACACCACAATAATACTGCACAGGACAAGGACTCACACACTTCAGGAATAACAAGCAAACAGTATTGATCTGCATGTGAAAGTATACTACGAAAGTATTAGCCAAATATTAATTTAGATTAATTTGTGCATGTATTCGTTTCAGGTCAGACATTTACAACAGAAACAACTTATAAAATACCCTTGTGAAATTTAAAATAAGCTCATATTTACAAAAAGTTATTGTTGAACACAATTAAATAGGAAATGTGAGGAATAAGTGAGGAGTCACCATAGACAAACTTTTCTCTATCACAACCTCAAATGTCAATCACAACTCTAGATGTTCCTTAAAAAGTTGATTTTAAGCCTCTATTTGACCCGCAAACAGCACCATAACTTCTCCTCTTGGCTAAGGTACAAATCTAATTGAAGTCATGATCACCAGTTGCAAATTGGAAAAAAGACAAGAATTAAAAATTCACACTATGTCAGTCAAATTTACAAAATTACACAAGATATAACAAAATGAAAAAGTTTAAAACAATCCTGAATGCTTCACAACAACATTTCTTTGTACTGAATTACACATAAACCTGTGTTAATATTTGGAGATAAATGCAGACCATAATGGGTAGATCCTAGACGGTCCTCTGACTGGAGGGTCCGCCATGAATTTTTTTATTAATTTTTATAGATTTCATGAACAAAAAAGTTTAAAACATTTAAATGTTAATAAAATATTAAAACATTGTTTAGAACTAATTTTTAAGGATTGAGTGGACTAGAAATTTGTCATATTGCTTCTTAATGTGCTGTCATATACTCTTGCTCCAACATGAGTGTTTCTTGCTAGTTGCAATCTGTCTAGCCGACACCCGCCTATGAGAATTGAGTGTAGTGTTCTCTATTCAGTAAAACTTTTTCTGATGAGTGGAAATTTAGCACACTTCCAAGTGCTTAACACATCATAATGTCGAACCAAAGTGTTATGTTATTCCCTTTGGATACATCAAGTGCAGTGTCCAAGTGTCAATTGCCAGGTGAAATAATTTTAATACACCATAATTAGAATTTAAGAAGGTAGGTCGAAGGTCAGAGGTACATGGTTCCATACTTCATGTCTGATAAGATATCTGTTCAAACCTGAGTTGCACTGTGTGGTTTTGTATGAACAAATATTGCCTTGCACTTGATGTACCCAAAAGAACACAGTAACATTTTGTTTCACTTTTAGGTGTGTTAAGTACTTGTAAGTGTACGACATTTCAACACTTCAGAAAAGGCGCTACTGATTAGAGAACATAGCCACACATTCTCCTTGCCAGATGTCTACTATACAGATCGCAACTAACACTCATGTAGTGAGCAAGACTGCAAGAAACAGAACTTTTAGAAGCAGTATGGACATTTTTTTAGACACCTCAAGCCTTAAAAATACCTCTAAACAATATTTTAATATTTAATTAGTATTGAAACATTGATTGATTGATTGATTGAACCGAAGGGGGAGTGCGGTCAATAATGCCAATGCCAAGTGGTAACCCTGCTGGCTCAGGCCTCCCCTGGTCAACCTAAAAACTAATTTTATAATTAAGATAATATAAAACAACAAAATATTCGGGGGGGACCCTCTAGACAGGGGATCCTCCAGATGTTTCCCACCATAATAATGATACTAAGAATCTACAAGATTACAAGAAACACAAAAATTACAGACTTTGTACTACTGAGGGAAAGGACTAGTTCATCAAAGACAAATCAGTAGCAGCAAAACTCCAGTAAAAAAAATGAAGAATTTTAAGTAATATCCATAAATAGTGAGATTACATGGCAATCAGCTTGGTCTTCCAGAACACCAAAATATTTAACCCTAACTTTATTTGAAATCAAACCCTAGAATAGGGGAAATGTTATTCATATTGCTTTGACAGCAGGAACTCTACAAGTAAGCTTTCTAAAGCTTATAGAAAATAAAAGAATAGAAGAAAAGTTTGGTTTGGCTCAACTTTAAACAACAAAACAAAATTAATAATCTTCTACTTGTCCAAATTGGATACCATGTAACAAAATGAATTACATGTATAAACAGTGCAAACCAAAAACCAACAAAATGCAAATGGAACACAATAAGTACAACTTTTCTGAACAGAAGGAATATTCTTACTTAAAATGGTAGAAATGTAAAAATATTCCTGCTAGTATCTAATTTCTATGTATTGGATATACATATCTTAATAAGTGGAAATTATAAAACAGGCACCAACGTAGACAGCTCTCAAATTTAACATTTGCTTTAAAAATGTTATGAAAGGTCCATTATAAATTGTGAGGTGCTGTACAGTAGAGGGTAGCGTAAAAAAAGGATTTGAGATATTGAAATGGCAGGTATGCGGAAAAGTTGTCTTTTTAAATGTAGAATCCAGTGCAATTTTTTATTTTGAGATCGGACAATATTTTTCGATTGCGCAACGAGTTCAAAGTTATGCATTAGCTCTTATGGGGAAAATCGTCAAAAACCATGAAAAAATGAAAATCAAAAATTTAGGCTTTGTACGTGATGTTTTTTGAAAATCTGTTTTCAGAAGTGCAATCTACGCCAAAAGAGGCATCCGGTGATGTATCACACTTGCTATTACAACCCATGGTGTAGGCGGTGTAGGCTGCATAATTTGATGACTTTTGTGCAATTTGATGCAATTTGGGCTTAAATTGATACCTGGCCGGCACTGAACCGCTCACTATAATATCAAGTGTGACACATCAGTGTATGCCTTTTATGGCGTAGATTGCATTTCTGAAAACAGATTTTCAAAAAACATCACATAAAAAGCCCAAATTTTCGATTTTCATTTTTTCATGGTTTTGGACGATTTTTCCCATAAGAGCTAATGCATAACTTTGAACTCGTTGCGCGATCGGAAAATATTGTCCGATCTCAAAATAAAAAATTGCACTGGATTCTACATCTAAAAAGACAACTTTTCCGCATACCCGCCATTTCAATATCTCAAATCCTTTTTTTACGCTACCCTCTACTGTACAGGACATATGACACATTATATTTGATTCTAATTAATCTTTTTTAGCTGTTCATATGTGATGAAGAAAATTATATTCCAAGGACCCATCCGAACCCAAGTTGGAATAAATCCCTTGTACAGAGCTCCAACACCTTCGTTGCGAACAGTCTGTAAAAAAATTCAAAGGAAGAAGACATCTTCAAATTGAATCTATTTATCAGACATGCATCTTTGCATTTTGGGAAATGAATATCACCAATTATCCCATTTTAAACTGAAATTTTCATGTTACACCTACCTGAATACAACAGTCTACGCTTCCTGTGTAGAGAAGTGCAGTATGAGGTTCTGGCGAAGTTATTCCTCCAGTTTTAAATTTTCTTTGATTCATTAATCGTGTCTGCAAATTGGATTAAAACATATTTTAGATTAAATGAATTGAACTCAAACCAGCACAAAACATTGTTCAGTTATGAACAAGAAAAATTACTAACTCTTATAACATCTGTAGGTGTTGATGCGATTGCACTTCCTAGACTTGCAAGAAAACTGGATCTAAAAAAAGATAAAATAATCAGTAACTTAATTATTGAAACAGTTGTAGAGTCTTACGGTTAAAAATTGCTGCATCTTTTTTCTTATGTAATGTATACTCACATAATGATGGATATTGTGTCTCCTACTTTTGGAGTGAGACGGTCTTTAGTGAAGTCATATACAGGAAGTTTAACTGCAGCAATAATAGCTGCTCTTTGAGCAGTAGGACCCACACCCTGCAGATAACAATATGAAACACGTGAAAAACACAAACTAATATTTGCAGAGCACAGCTTGTAATACATTTATTCAAAAGTAATAATGCTGAAAAGCCCTGTAAGTTTCTGAATAATGATCAGTCTTACCCTCCAAAGTCCTCCCAATCCTTCATGATAGTACACATCTCGAAAACAACTTATGAGACTATGGTGATGCCCTTGAACTTGCATACGAACTTTCAAGACATCAGTAGGGTTTGCAATTGCACTGGACAACATGGCAGCTGTGACTGCACAAAGAACATTAGTCAAAATATCCTCTTTTGGATCATCTCGATTTTGAGCAACAATTTTTTTGAGAGTGTAATAAGTTCCAAATTTGATTGTCCCATAAACCGATTGCCTCAATAGAGCTGGTGAAATACTGAAACCAAAATTTTAATTGGCTTATCACTATTGAAGAGACACATTAACCAAAGATACAGTAATGAATAGTAATAATACATACTATAAATTAAATAAAAAATTGCTATAAAAACCAAAAAACATACCCTGTATACAAGGCTTTATACCCATCATGCTTGGAGATTTCTATAAGAGCATGTGTCATGCCTCGGTACCGTAACTCCGCATGTAAACTGTTGCGCTGTCCCTGGATTTGCAGTCTAGTTTTGGTAGTATCAATGGGAAATGTACCTGTGGACAAAAAACAAAATCAAGACATCTATTTTTAAGGACGGGCGAAATAGTTTGTAATCTTGGAATGATTTGTACCTAGTTCGGCTGTGCAAGCAGCCAGACCCGAATAGACAAAAGGTCTCCAGTCCAGTCCGGTAGTGGTTCCAACTCCCATTCCACCTACTATTTGGAAGATACCTGGACGCGAAAAATAAAAAGAGTTCTAAAATTACTAATGATTTATTAATGTGCAAAAGTTACAACGTCAAATGTTGACTAAATATTTAGAGGTTCAACACTTGTGACACTTCGCAGGGAAAATTTCGCAATGCACTGGTGTTTCTAAAGTACAGTAGATGGGTGTTTTATATCTCCCATAGATCCATATAATCGTAAAATACACAAAGGCTCAACTTGTTTTTCCTGAATCGCAGCTGCTAGCACAATCAGGTAAAGAACGTTCAGACGACGAAATGCTCACTGACACACAAATTGTCCTACTCCAAGGTCGAGCTTTACCTTTCCTGGGTGTAAAACGTTCGGATCTTATTCAAAATAAGGACGTCTAATCTAATAGATCGTAATTCGCAAGTGAACTTTCGCGATAACCTCACTTGGTCTGCTAGCGCTCTTCACCTTCACTGCTTTGCATCACGGGCGGTAAGGGAGAAGCCGGTTTGACGTCACTAGGTTGTCTCCCCCACCCTCCCCTCCTCCACTCCTCGCCTCTGCCTCCTGGAGCTCCCGGCCCCGGCCCGGCCGCTAATCGCTCATTCGGTTCGAGCCCTCGGTCCGACCTAGCTCGTGGGTGGGAGCCAGCCGGGCAGCCGGCCCTAGAAGAGTTCAAGATCAAGGCTTCGCGATCCGTCCGTCCTGTGCGTACAGCGTACGCTGTTGGTCAAGTCAAGTCCGTCGGGGTGTGGGTCGCGCCGCGCTTAGCTCGCTCGCGTCTACCGTGCCGCCCCATCGCATCACACCGCATCACAGCAGCTCCGTCAAGTCCGCCCCCGCGGCCCCCGCGATTCCCTTGCGCCCGTTGTTTTGATTCCGACTGTATGTTGCCTTAGGTCACTTTTTCACCTCAGATTTGCTGGTCTACCTCTGGCGCTGGGGTGAACAAGGGATGTCAAAAGGGCATTTCAACAACCGGTGTTGAACGGAAGTGAAAGTGTTCGCGAAGTCTTGCGGCCTCGAGGCCACGATCGTGTGTCTGCTTGACTGTTCTGTTGTTGACCCGCAATATGCCACCTCTCGCCGTTCCACACGGCTGCCCGCCCCGCCGTGGCCCATGCGCTCCTCGGGTTTTGATTCCGACTTTCGAGTATGTTCTTTTGCTCACTTTTTCACCTCAGGTTTGCTGGTTAATCCCCAGTTCTGGGACGAACAAGTGAGGTAAATAAGGCGTTTCAGTCCTTGTTGAACGGGAGTGAAGCAATCGCCTTGTCGTGCGGCTCGCCCCGCCGCGGCGGGTACTATTGTGACCCTTTCGACTGGAGGTAGAAGCCGTTAGGGTGCCCGGCGCTACCCCGGCTCGCCTGGCGCGGATGCGATATATGGTGAGCGATACAACCGGGCTGCCTGACCGTCGTCTGCGCCAGGGAGGGTGGTTGCGCACGTTTGTTTTGTTTTGTTCTCTCCGTCCTTGTCGCACTCGCTGCCACCGGGAGGGAGAGGGCACGCGTAAACATCGTGCGGGATCGCCCTGCAGGTCTGTGGGTCTCGCTCGGCATTCCAACGTCTTCTACTTCGAGCCTGTTTGGTCGGCACCGATGTGTCCCTAGCTAGCGCCCACGCGCCCGTGCGCCCGCGTAGAGCTCGCGCAGGGAATGACCTCTGTGCCCCGCGCAGTCTGACACTGCTACGCCCAAAGCATTCTTTCGCGAAACTCGTGGTCCGCGACCGGCCCCTTCGGTTTGCGTGTCCCCTCGTGTGCATCGCCAGCAAGAGGAGCCCACGACGTGTCCTCCGGCCGCCGACTCCCACCCCATCCACCTGGGCGAGCGCTGAGGCGGCGGCGTTCGCAGCTGCCGCTGCCAAAGGTAGGCCTCGTCGTTCTCCGGAGTTTGTGTACAAACGCTTCTTGTTTGGTCGCTCAACTTGTGCAGAGCTCCACCTCACAGCCCAGTGCGGCAGTCTTTATATAATGTTTCAGGTCTACTTAGCGATTTGAACTTTACTAGGGGGCTACACTTCCAAAGGGTACTCATCTCCAACACACAACAAAGCTCATTAATGACTGCACTGCTGCATTGGCATGGTCGAACAATGCTCTCAAGTCCTTTCGCGCCGTTTTGCTGCAGTCCGCGTTCATTTTCCGCGCTCATCGATGTTAAACAACTGATCATTTTCGCTCACGTCGGGATCGGAAGTTAAATTGGATTTTATCAACCGCGATATCATTTAATTTAAAGATTTACTCAACCGCGAAATCATTTAAAGTTTTATCAACCGCGACTTATTACATCATATTCTAAATTGCATAACTTAACGAAGACTTTGGAGAACATTCTTCCCTCCTCAAGGTCAGTCGTGTGTCCCATTGGAATGTCGTTCTGCTTTGTTTTGAGCCTAATTTCCTATAATTGTCCTATCGCTAGCCTAGCCCCCGCTGCTGTTTGCCTTCGTCTCGACTCGGACGCTGCGAGCGAGCTGTCTGCTCGAGCCCGCCGCCTTGTGCTGCTGAGCTGTCTCCGCGTCTCGCACGCAGTCGCGGGGAAGGACTACGGACTGCGTGACGCTGCCGCCGCCGCCCTTGCCGCAGTTTGACTTTATGGGACTACAGATCTACTGTTCCAGGTAATTTCACTCGTCTTATTTTGATTGTTTTGTGACTACACATGAACTTATTAATTGTGTTGTGTTTATGTTCCAGCCGACATCTCAATTTTGCTGTGACGAGCCCCTTCCTGGACTCTGCTGCGTCGCTTA